GTTACTGCAGCATTTAAGCACCTGTAAAAGGCAGTGAGAGAACTGTTGAATCACCCATCCTTTCCATAATCATCTTTCCGTTAATTAAACTTTTTTAAAAATGTAAATAAATCGACAATAACAGTACTGCAACAAACTCAAAATAAATTATGAACAAAACCAGCGAACAACAAATTTATTTGATGTATACCTGTTTTGTGAACAAAAAGAAAAAATAAAATGGCTTGACAACATCTGGTGATTCCTGGACGATCTTACGGTGAAGTACAAAAGTTATGTTGTTTTTTTTTCTGTCATGCTTTAAAATCAGAGATCAAAAATTGGCAGTTACACACTGCTGCAAGTATTCAGAGCTGGGTTGAAACCCCAGTTAACAACAGAGACAGAGCTTGGGCCAGCGAGAATGACTCAGAGGCTTTGCTTGCCATTTGCTAGGATAACCCTTTCTTCAGGGAATTTGCAAAGACCAGCGGAATGCTATTGAGCAACAGCAAGAAAAGAGGAGGTGCTGCCTGTGGAAGATGTAGTGAGAGAAGGTAGGTTCAGATCAGTCTTAAAACAACTCTCCCATAAGGAGCCCAGCCCTACATGCCCTTTAACCCACCTTGTGGGCGTGAAGGAAAAATTAGAATGTTCTTAGTTCTCTGGCAGTAGGCTTCTATCTTCATCAAAACCGGCTTTCTGGGTGGAAAGAGAGATTTCCCAATTGCACCTTTTTTTTTTTTTTCCAAACCAACAATTTTAAAGGGAGAGCAGCATTGCTGTGCGTTAGCCTGTTACTGATGGCACCCCACTGAAGTGTCCAAAGCGTGCACTGGTAACGTGGAAGGCACACAGCTGGAGTTTTTGCTGTGACAGCCAAGGAGGAGCCGGACACTCGGCATTTGGTAGCTAGAGTCAAACCCCGCCATTTCAACAGCCCTTTTGATGGGTTACGTTTTGCAGCTGCTACTGGAGCGCTTGATCTGACTGGCGGGGTGATGTGAGCTCCCTCCTTCCCAGGAGCAGCACCAGCACGCTGTGTTGTCGGCGCTCAGCCCTTCGACCCGGCGCGGTGTTCGTACCAGCGACGCGTTCCCGTAAGCTGTCGGTTTGAAATGCTGTTTAAAGCATTTGGAAACGTGTCCACACTTGAAGCATGATCCAAAGCTAATCAAATGTAACGAGTCTTTGAATTGACTTAAATGAGCTGGAAGTCAGACCTCTGAAGCAATTGCTGCTCAGGTTACTTACCACCCCTGTGCCAGGGTAAACTCTGCTGCAGGAAGCCTGTTCGCCCTGAAGCAGTGATCTGTCACAGTTGGAGCTACAGTACTCCATTGTCTATTTGCAGCTTTGGTGAGCCTGTCAGTGCAGGAGACCCCGGCGAAACAGGAGATCAGATGTCCAGCACAGCAACATTCAGCAAGCGTTCCCCTGACCTTCAGTGGGAGTGATGTGAGCTCGGCGGTAGCCCTCAGATCAAATAAGTTCTCGCTAGTGGCATTTTTATTAAGATAAAGAGGGTTCTGAAATATTTTCTTGGTTTTGCTGTGGGAGTTGCAGGGTCCTGCACAAAGCCCTGTGACCTCTGCATCTCCGAGGGGGTTCTCGGTGTTGCAGGAGGGCAGAGGAGGGGGAGCCTTGCTCTAAGCTGGATACTGCCTCCTGCAACCTTGTCCCAATGTCAGGCTGCGTTCAGAACAGCTACCATAATGCATTAGGTGGACTTAGGTACATCTTACATCTAAGACAGCAAGGCAGACCCCTTCCCTCCCAGCTTGTCAGGTCTTGGCCCCTTTTCCTCTCTCAAATAAAAAAGCACCGTAACACATTGATGCTGGCTGAAGGCAGTCCAACTGTAATGCCTCTCCGTATTGACACAGGCTCCGTACTCTGGACTTCACATTGCTCACTGCTCACGCACTGGGGAACTGGACTGGGTAGCAGTTGTCTGACTAAGCCCTGTCAACTTCATCTCTTGCTTGATACTGTGGTATCAGATGGGTATCGGCTGCTCAGTGAACTGTCAAACCACTAATACTGTCCATTTGATGCCGTAGATGATTTCCAGCACACAGAGTTGAGTATCGGCAGTCTGTAATCTTTACCCTGCTTCACTAGCCCTCTACTGAAAACGAGGTTGAGCAACATCTGACAGAAGACTTTAACTTATTTCACTCACATTTCTCTGTGTCTTCTACCTATCAAAAATTGTCCTTACTGCCTTCAGCGCTGCATCCGTGGCTGCGTGGTTATAACGTGTGCCCAGTGATTCCTTACGTTCCCTATCACACAGTTACAACCTTGCACTAAGATTTTACCGTAGTAAAATACAGAAGTAGCCATCAGAAAGGAAATAGTAAGTGCTGGATGTTCACTGCCCTTTCTCCACAAGGGCAACCTCATTTCAGGCATGTAGGTGCAAGTTTTGTTCCACATGGGTACGTGCCAATGCTTGGGAAGAGGGCAGCGGTGCAGTCTTGCTCTAGGAGCACTGCTCCCTATAGTGCTGGCCCATTGCTCTCCAGTGTTCATGTTTGCAATCATTGGGATGTCTAGGAAGAAGTGAGAACAAGGTTTACCTCTTGACAAAAAAGAGGAACCAAACCAAATTTTTACACTGAATTTTTCACGTCTCTGTATTGTCTCCAGGACAGCTTGAGCCATGGAAATTAAATTTACCTTGCAGACCCTCTCAACTACCCAGGGCAGCAGGTGCGAAAGCACCAGAGCCAACACCAAAAGAATGCATTTATAGTATTATGAGCTTTCTCAGTATTTTAATCCAAATTTCTGTTGAAGTTCCTGCTGTTGAAAACCAGATACAAAGTGTTAAGTCCTACTCAGATGATTTTATTTCACTTTTTATGGATATAGAATACAAATTACAATATATATGGATCTAAAAGCAAATAGATGGAAAAGAACTACCAGTTAAAAAAGTTACTATAATTCAGAAAATAATAGTCTCATTCTACAACATGGTAGTTCAGTGATTTGCACCCAGCTGATATTCCTGTTCATTTTTAACTGTTGTTATTAACAGCTTGTGGAAAATAAATTTTCAGTGTTCCATTTCTTTCAGTCTCTTTCATTCCGCTCTGATGAGACAATGAAAGCAGCCTGCCTTATGGTTCTATCACTTTCACTTTCTGATTCCCCGTCACTAACTCAAAGTTATCTGATAAATTACACAAGAACATAGAAATGAATCATGACTGCATTTTATGAACTCCTAAGAATATCTGTGCTCATCTTAAATTTAGTAAAATCTGCGTAATTTTAATCTGGGGCTAAAGTCTGGCCAGCAGCATTGTCTTTGTCTGCATTAATGTGTCACAGTGTGCTATGGAAGTGGATCTGCAGCGGGAAGCTGTTGGCAATGAAACCCAGCGTCCACACTGTCCCTGTTGTGGGGTTTTACTTTGAAGTAGCCCTCATCTGGATGCATCTTAGCAGGTGGAGCACATCCATCCGCTGGTTTGGTTTCACACTCTCCAGGAGAGTTCTGCAACTGAAGTGTGGCAATTGGGGACCATAGGGAGAGTTGCTTAAAAACATTTTCCTGATCCAGGACAAACACTAATGAAGGCACACCAGATGAAGTTCAGTTCTCGATCACCTTGTTTTTATTCTTATGTTCTTGTAACCAAAGCACTGACAGTTAATGTGAGAAAGATTTAGCCCTTGGAGAGTATGGATAGCTAAAAGAACATGCTTATCATTCAAGGTCCAGAGAGCTTTTTGTAAATGCTCTCCAAAGAAGTCCTGAAAACTGCTGAAAAAGAGAACTGTGGTTATTCCATGACTGAGATCTATATGTTTTCCATTAAATTGTTGACTGCCTGTGCTAAAACAACTTGTGTCGTTAGCTTCAGCTAGTAGAAACTGGTGCAACTCCAGTTATCACAGTGCAGGTTTGGCGATTGGCGGCAGCAGCAGAGGGCTGACTATTAGGGTGTACAGTTCTTTTCAGCCTGTACTTTTTTTTCTTTCCAAAGCAGCAGATTTCAGCTGCCCTGACTGTTCTCACCATCTCCACTCTCGCTGTCAACAAAGAAAGGAGCCCTGATTTTCATTGCTGAGTATTTTAGCGAGTACCACATCCCATGCCACGTAGACCAAACAATGCCATTGTCATGGGATCCATTGTACCTTCCTGTTCTGTAGTATCGTCCATTGAGATTTACGGCATGGCACCTTGTAACGAGGGAGGAGACAGAAAAAGGAGATTAGGTTTACCATGGGAAGACATTGCTTCATTAGAGCGAAGTACAGTTTTCACACAACGTACATTTAGAAATAACCAGGGTGGGATTTATTGGCAGGTTCAGATACCAAGATATATCTGTCTGTACTGAACTGGTTATCTGAAGTCCTCCAATAGCCTATGGAGGTCTGGTTAGTGCATTTAGTGGAACCCAGAGAAGTATGTGGGTCAACCTAAAGTAGACAACTACACCGATCAGATAATTCAACCTGTTGACTCCTTCAAGTGTATTAGCTAGAGACATGATCCAGTTGCCTAAACAAAGGGGCGTAGTGCCATTTGGTAGGCTCTAGCTCAAGCGTAGGCAGCTGCGTATTGACACCTAAAAATGCAGGTGTCTTTTAATCAAGTTGAATCCTACTGTTGATATACATTTTTGTAGTTTCACTGGTTTCAATTTGTATGTGATGGGGGCCTCGTCAAAGAAGAGGCTCATCCTGCACTAAAGCAGAGAAAAACTGAGCGCAGTGTGTCCATGCTCCCAGGGCTGGTGAACCCGAGTCCTTATCTGTAGATGTGTGGGGTATGCCCAACTAGCAAACTTACAATCAGGAGTGTTAAGGGGTAGATCACCCACTGGACATGCCCCACAATACAGAAATGTCCTTTGTACACACTTCGTCTCGCAGTGGCTACAATTGTTTTCCTACCTGGGATATAACCCAAAGCACTTTAAGGAATTTTAATTGGACTCTTTTCCTTACAGTTAATTTCCCCTTACATATTTGTTCTGATCCATTTTCTTAAACTGAATGCAACTTACCTGTGGCCCAGTTTCTTAAAACAAATGCAACTTACCTGCTTTGCCTCATAATGAAAGAAGCTGATTGCTTTCCTTTGAGGATCTGTAGATGTGAACATCTTAGATTTGGCTGTGCGAGGTGACGTGCGCACAGAGAAACCTCCAGCTGCTGTAAGGCAGGCAAGTCCTCTCGGCTGTACAGCCACCCACACCCCATCCATCCTTCTGAAGGCTGAGAGAAATTTACTCTTTTTCATACCTGTTAAACCACCAACCGCCCGTGTTCTCTACTGCACAATTGCCTGCCAGGAAACGATCGTGATCCTTGTCAGATGTGGTGAACTGCATTCCTCTGTGAGAGGCTGACCACTGATCTTCGAAATTGCTCCCACCAGACAGAGCGTCTCCAGCGTTACCAGAATAGGTGCCAAACCATAACCTGTAATTGTCCTGCAAGAATATGTGAAATATGTCTTTGATATCAGCTCTTTCTGCCCTTTCTCCCATATTTGAGATCAAATTTGCTCTGGCCATTGTATCCACTGTCACAGGCGTGACTGTTGAAGACAAGGGTGACTTTTGGCCTCATGTTTTAACGATCCTAAGGTAGATCAATACAGGATTTAAACTTCCAGAAGGGATTGCTAATTACTGCTGCTGCTACAAAGGGATTCAGGTTTTATTGTCTTTCAATAACCATTTGATACACTATACAACCAGCTGGAAGGGTCTTCCTAGCTCATCAAGAACAAATTGGCAGGAAACTGTGCCAATAGTTGCCTTCATAAACATCCATTGTTCAGCTAAAATAACTTCCTAGGAATTTTGCTCCTCCAAGAACTAGAAGCCATCTAGCTAACTGGTCGTGTCCTGGTAGGAATACTTAGAAGAATAGTTCTATTGTGCACAGCTAACAGATCTAAGAGACATTTGATATGAGATGGATGATTACTTTTGTGGTATGGGCTTTTTCCTGTCATCATATCCCACATTTGTTTATGAAAAATATCAGCAAGATATTAAAATGAAGCTGTTCAAACTTTTCATCAGAAAACTAATTGCAAACTGAGCATAATGTGTACATGTCTGGAGCAGTGATGGAGTTGGAACTAGGACTGGTCCATGCAATGAAACTCATGTCCTTGGGTATTCAGGCTGCTTGCTTGTGGTGTTCAGAAAGGCAAGCCTCCAAAGAACAGTGTGTGCGTTGAGCAGGACACTGTCCAAAGCTAGAATGCAAACATGAAAATACAGGGATTTTCTTTCCTTGTGCTTTCACTACTAAGTGTAGCACTGCAGGTAACTCCCTTCAAGATAGGAACTTTCAACTGCTCTTTCAAAGCTTTGATGAGAGTTCAGTGCTTAAAACAGTAGAGTTGTGGGGTTTTTTTCTAGTGATTGTCTTTTATGTGACAGCCTGGAACACTCTCCTAGGAAGCAGAACAGGGTTCAATTTCCTTGCAGAGGTTCAAACCCTTATCTGCTCCCTCATGGAAGACTCTTTTAACCATGAGGCCGGAGTCAAATGCACATGGGAAGCCCTGTGCCCTGTGGCAGAGAGCTGCCATCCATGCAGCAGCAGAGTCAGCAAGAGAGCACGCGTGATGCCGTCACCCAGTGGCTTGGGCATTCAGCAGTCATGAGGAAGAAGTCACAGGCTTATGTCCCTGCTCCCAGGGCTGTTTGTCAGTCAACCAAACCAGGAATCCCAGGGAACCAAAGCAGGTAAGTTTTGCAGAGCTGCAATTATAACCCCGACACTGAAGTCTGATGCTGTACACAAAGATGCCCCACCGTCTCAGATAAAACAAGCAAACCGCCACTCTCTCCATTTCTTACCTGCTCGTTTGCAAGCTGGAAATTTTCATAGACTGCGTAACGTTTTTCCCCATGCCAGTCCATCAGGTCAATCTTTAGTGAGCTCTCTCCTAAATACAAAGTGGTGTCCTGTTAAATGAACTATCTCATGTGAATTGGAAAGAAATCTGTGGAGGGAAAATTCTTGCACCTCTAGCAAGCAGGTCATAGATGTGGTCGTTGCCCAGCCAGTATTCATCATTCCTGCCCTGGAATTTCCCAAATCCCAGTTTGTAATCATCCCATTTCCTGCAGTGAGATACAAATACAATTTCAGCACGTGAGGGAATTAGACGGTTTGTGAGACTTAGCTACGGTAACAAGTAGAACTTCAGCTGTATCTCTAGACATTGTTTTCTAAAAGGATGTGATTCACCACAAGCTGAGCTGAGATTTGTCACTCTGCCTGAGAAGTAAATACAACTCACAGCTTACTTCTTCATCTGCTAAACCCGTGCTCACCCATATATTGGAATCAAACCTTCAAACTGCCAGGTGCAGCGCTCACAGAACGAGGTAGTCGGTTAGATGGGAGGGGAAAGCAGCAGCTGTCATATTGGTCTTCAGCAACGCATCTGATACTGTTCTTTAGGGTTATAATTCAAAGGCACTCCTGGCTGGAAATTAATGTTGCAGTCTAAAACGTGCTACAATCTTGGATGTATGATGTGATATGGTGAAGAATCAGAAACTGAATAGAAGCTTCAGACAAAAGGTTTCAGATGAAGTTAAAAGGAAAATAATCTGGTTCTGCTTTGTGCTCCTGTTTCATTCAAATCTATTTTTGATTCATTGACCATTCTCACCTCTGCTTTTTCGCAGGATTACTGTTTGGATGTGGCAACTTGTCCTTCAAAGACATATTACTTATTTTTCATCAGCATTCTGTGGTTTCATCTTTCTAAGTGAAATCTCCTGCTGGTACTTTCTTCTCATCATTTCACTCTCCTAAAATCTCCTCTGCTATTTACATATTATCTTTGATATTCACATATATTTCCTGTGTATCGTCATTTCCAGTTTTACTAACCCCGTGTTTATTCCCTCTTTCATGTTGTTATTAGGGATATTAATTCTGCCTGACCTACCCTACTAGTCAGCGCTCCTCTTCAGGATTCACCTATGCTGAGCGCTGAACTACCATGGCTAGATAGCTACCACCCTCTGGGCAAGCCATCTTAGAGCCAGTTGAGGTAGCTTTGAAATGGACTGCACTCACCGTAAGGTATACTAGATATGCCCTGAAATTGTGTGTGCTATGATAGTGAATTCATCTGCATGGTGAGGTTTCTTTACTGTGCCACCAGAGCATCTCTCCTCCTGGAGATTTCCAGGTGAAAGTCACCTCTCTGCAATTTTGCATAGAGAAAGGACAATCTGGACCAGTGGTTTGGCATCTTTTTGAATGATCTGAATAAGGAAATAAATGTTACACCATCCTGAACATAATTCTTGATATGAGAACAGATAATATGTTCAACAGGACTCAGTCTATGTGCTGGCAGCAGATACCTGCTAATTTGGAGCCTCCAAGTTCGGCAGCCTCCAATAATGATAAACCAAATATGCACATATGTACACACTCAACTGTAGAGAAACCATAGAAAAGGTGTTATAGGTCCATTTTGAAAATGGTCTCCTGCTACCCATAAATACCTCCGCACTGTCCTAATGCACAGTTATCATCACTGAAGTATAATACCCTGCTTCTGAAATGTTGGGTTTTGCCAGGCAGCAGGACGGGGGTGGGAGCTGAGGCCGGACTCCAAACCCTGCTGATGCAATCACGATGCACCCACCTGTTGAAATTCTCCTTGCCGTTACTCCGCCGCTGAATGACGGTCCACCCCCCGCCATCAGACATGTCACAGTATGCCAGGAAAGGCTCTCGGTCTGCTCTGGGTCTGATCTGGTAGTAGCCGCTTTTGGTCTTCTTCCGATTATACACTGCAGAGCAATCTGGGCAGGATGGAATCAGTTTGCTAAATGGAGCAGGGGGAAAGCAAACGGGTATGTGCAGCTGAGAGGAGACATTGCTGGGACGCTGTATGCGACAAGGACACTTGGCCAGCCTGTGTATAGCTCTGCAAACCCTGCAAAGCCAAAGCAAACGGTTCAGTAGCAATGCTGGTTTGCAAACTGATGGGCCTGACAAAGAACAGCAAGGCTTGAGAGCCTTTACAGCCACGAGGGAGTCATTCCCAAATCTTTGGTGAGATATGGGACGGCTGCAGCTCAGGCTGGGAATGTCTCTGTCAGCAAGATCATCTGCCGGGAAGCTGATTTCCATGTGGAAGGCAACTTCAGCTGTACTTCAGATTGGATCAGGGCCCGAAATTTCTAAAATAAGAGGTTAAGCTCCTGTGACCAGCTCTACCAGGGCTGTATCAGAAGAGTGCCTTTCAGGACCTCAGTGCTTCACACTTTCAATGTAATGCCCATGAAGGAGAAAATCTTGGCCACAGGCCACAATTCCAGTTATGACCATGTTCTCAAAGTGACACCAAGGAGCAGAGCATGCATGCCTGCTACCGTGGTGCAGAAGTGATAGAGGAGCCAAGGAACAGGGAGGCTGGGCTCCTCTAAACAGGTTCAGTGCCCACAACTAAGCCAGGCGCCCTGGGTTCCCATAAGTCACTCAGGAGAAATGGGATCTTCAAGAGCAAGACCCATCTCTTCCTAAAGCAGATGTCTAAAGTAGGTCTGATGGAAAACATCTGAGAGGTGCCTGTTCCTCTCTGCATCAGAGTCGCAGGTGAGCAGCCCAGCTGCAGGTGTCAGCGCTGTACCTGGGTGGTAGCTGCCTAAAGCTGGGCCAGCTGACTCCAGCCCTGGGGGATGTCTGCTGGTACCAGGGTCACCAGTCTGCCCTTCTTCTTCCATGTATCTGACTGCATTTTAGAACACAATCCACTTCAGAAATTCTAAAACTTTCAGCAGAAAGAAGATATGACACACGGGACACTGCAGGGAGAAATAAACATTGTGGCAAGCTGAAACTTCCACATATGCTACTGCAAACCGTACCTTGGTCATAGACTATCAAATTTCCACTGGTTGTGGGTAAAAGCATCTCATGCTGCACGCTCCTGTTGCCTAAGAACAGCCCACTTCTTGTTCTATGGTAAGTGTTCTCCAGGATGTCCTTCAGTTGCAGTTCATACAAGTAAAGCAAGTCTTGAAGCTGTTTTAACTTTTGTCTTAATTTATTGTTGTCTAGGAGGCAGATGTCTTTTTCCTATGGGGAAAATAAAACAAAATCCCCCATGCTTCAGTCAGTGGTAAGAACAGAGAGGCAGAGAAAGGAGGAGTATCTGTCACATCTTGATCCTAATATGTCATGCTGCCTGTGTCAATTAAGACGATTCGATGGTGGTCACTCTCTAAGACACGAATTGTGCACAGCATGGGTGGTTGAGTTGAACTCAGTGGAAAAGTGTTTTCTACAATGATCTTGCCACTGCTCAGAGCATCCCAGAATATGATCAAATAGGCAGAAAATTACTTTGGACAAAAATAATTTGTCTTGATTCCCATTTAATGAACTCATAGGGAGTGTTTGCAAACTAGGAAACTGCCCAGGGTAGTAAGAGGGGGAAAAAATTGGCTCTTGCACTGCAGCCAGTCAAACCAGCGAGGTTTCAGAAACTTATTCCTGTAAAACCGGGATAAAAGAGCTAATATTTGGTGCAAATGAACAGAAAGCAGTGAGCCTACCAGGATCAGTGTAGTAACTTCAGAGCTGCATTACCATGACCAAGACCAGAATCTGGCCCACTAATTGGATAAACATTTTCAGCAGCAATCTAGCCTGTGACTGGTGTTACTCTCTTAAAAACATTACAAAACAGAGCAAAATGTCTTCCAAGACAACCAAGCAAAACCATGCAATAAGAACCAGTTGCTATTTTCGCTCTGAGCAAGCTGGCTTGAGTGATACAAGGTCAGGACCAGTTCCAGGCATAAGGAAAACAAGCAGTTGCCCAGGACAGCAGACTGACAACTGCTCCAGTGTGACCTCCCTGCTGCCTCTACCTTCTCCTAAGCCTGTTGGTTCTTCTCCACAAAGGATTTCCAGGCTGGAGACACACACAGGGACCTGCTGCAGACAGCCCCAGGCATGCCAAACTCTCCTTACCAAGCTCCCTCCTTGGTATAGCCCAAGAGTAATTTTCTCATCAGAGGAGTACAAGTTGCTTCAGACTATGCCTCCCTCCTCTTCTCCTTTTCTCCTCTTCTCCTCTTCCCGCTCTTTAAATCATAATGAATAAAAAGAAGGCAGTTTTCTCTTAGGGAATGGAGCAGAGTATTTCTTCACTGGCCATAAAATCACCTTTTTTTTTTCTTTAAACAGCTTCTTTTGGTTTTGTTTGTTTGTTTGTTTGTTTGTTTTTAATTCTTGGCAATGTCATCCAGCCACCCAGAGAGCTGTGCAGCCCCTAATGCTGTGAAACCCCTGTATTATCAGGACAGCAAGAGTGACCTTCCTTTAGCTCCAGACAGACAGTTTTTTGTTCTGCTCTTGCAGGCCCACATCCCTTTTGTGGGGAAACATGTATCCCTACATCACTGGGAATGATAAACCATTGGCATGCTGCAGAGAGGTTGCACAGACGCTTTCTAAAAGATACACACCGAAAACCTGGGTGCAGGTGAGCCGAAGGTGACCAGGAGAAGCAGCAGCAGCAGCCAGGCCATGAACACGCTCATTTCTTATCACCTGAAAAGAAGCATTGACAGGCTGCACTGGAGGTTTCTTTAGTTCCTCTCACAACTTAATTTTCCCTCACAGTCGTATTTAATTTCCCAGAAAATGCTGCAGAATTTGTTAAGGACGTTGCTTGAAACTACAGGCAGGACAAAATATGGGAAAAAATGCATGTTAGGAAGAAGCTGAAGCATCAGTGCAGCATGCTGACAAGGTGACCGAGGTTTGGGTCCAAGCTCCTGCTTCCCTGGAGAAATAAATGCCCAGCATGACTCTCCAGCAGCTTCTGCCCCTTCTCCTAAGTGCTCACACAGACGGAAAGTTACTCAGCGATAACTCCTTCTTGGAACACTCCTTGCCAGACTGGTCGGCCAAAATCACACAGTCCTCATTCATCCCAAACTCCTCAAAGTTAAGAGGAATTTTGCCTCCTGCTTGAGTGAGTGTAGTCATTGCCCCTCCTCGATCCATGAAGTGGTCTGTCAGGATGGCATTACCTTGGAGGCTGAGGGCAGAAGTCAACGTGGGATGGAGTGGCATGGGATAGTTTTTGCTCGTATTTCAGTGGAAATCTCTGCTGCCGACCTGCCCCAGCACAGAGACGGGGCTTCAGTCAGAGAGTCCCAGCCAGAAAAACCACTAAGTGACTGCCACTGGGAACATGCAGCTGAACGCGAGCGAACAGTACAAATTGTTCACAGCGTGCTCGCACAATGCTTTTAAAAAACAAATATCAGAAACAATTTAAAAAATCTGAAAAATAGGCTAAAACTAACTCCCCCGCTTCACATCTGGAAGTGCTGCAGAAACTTGGCTACCCAGCTCTGTGCTCTCAGCAGCGCGCTTTGTTTCAGCTACGGCTCTATGGGCACCCCCGCAGCGGCTGCTTCCAGAGCCGGCAAAGCCGCGGCGACAGGGCAGTCCGTCTGCCAAAGCCAGGCAGGCAAGGCCCAAAGCAAGCCGAAAAAAGCAGTGCCCTGTGTGGAAGTCACCCAAGAAAAGTGTTGCACCGCGGGGTACCCTGGCACACAGCATTTTTTCAGATCTTAGAGAGAAGAGTTCCGTATTACAGCAAAGGGACCCCCCCAACCCGCGACTGCCGGTGCTGTTTGTTCACACACTGTGGCGCTGGCGCTGAGCTCAGAATCAGGCCCCATAGCATGTGGGTGGAGGCAAAAAGCTAACAGGAAAGATGGTTTGAGGGATGGCTCCTGAAAACCAGACAGCACAGACCAGAGGGAAAGAAAGCAACTTTATCTACGCTTTTATCCACGCGTATTAAACGCACCTACCTGTAACTCGCCTTTCCTTCAGACTTCCTCCTGATAAGATTATTTCCCTTTAAAAGTCAACTGCAAAAGAAAGTGATCATAAATCTGGCTGCGTTTCTAGAGGTTGATGAGCTTTTCCTCTCCAGATGGCCCACATCAAGGGCGCAGGCGAAGAACATTTCACAGCACTAGGCAGTTCCACAGAAAAGACACTCGCAATTCCTCGCCTGAAAGATTTACCCAAACTCTGGGTTATCTGTTGTTACCCAATACTCGTCCCGCTGCTTCCCAGTAAGGATAGATGACAGTTAGGTTTCCATCAGCAGTGCTCTCCCAAGGAGAGGGACTCTGCGGATTGCACACCATTACCCACCTTATTTAACTAGGAATCTCAAAAAAGACGGACTTCTTCAATTGTTTATATGAATCAGTGAAACTAATGCTCCCTGCAGGAGGTTTGTCTCAGGTTTAATACAGCCAGGCTCATTTCAGTAAGTCCTGCAAGGTGAAAATAACACAGCTTTTCCGTTCAGCGTTCCTTTTGCTGTTTAATCTGGTTTATATGTAAAAGCACAGCACAGCTGTAACACCAAAGGAGCTGCAAATCTGAAACAAGAGACGAACACGGGGGTATTAAGCAAGATTTGCTATTCGACTGAAATCTCAGGAGGTTTGCAGTTGTGTAACTCTCCTCTGAGCTGGATGATTAGATATGCTAGTTAACACAAACAAGGACATTCGTGGAAGAGAGAAAAAAAATACACAACAAACAAACAGATGGTGCCTCCCTTTGCATTACGGCCAAGGAATTACAGATTAGTTTAAAGAAAACAG